AATGCTCTATAATAATGTCGTTGCATTGAGGATTCACAGGTTTTTACATACATTTTTCACTTTTAAACGAGACCGATTTATCAAATATTTTGCGCTACATATGTTAGTCATCAGAAGAGCATAAGCATTATTAAATAAAAGTGAACAAGAATGAAAAAAAAACAAAAAAAAAAACACGCAGAACGGATAAAAACAGCGACGGGCAAATATCCCTTTTCATACCGCGAACGTTGTGTGTGAATGTCTGATATAATATTATATAATATTATATACTAATTATATATAATAAGAGATAATTGTATAAGAATACAAAACAGTTTACAACCAGTCAAAGCAGGAAGAATGGAATTATTATTATTATTATTATTATTAATATTATTATTATTATTATTATTATTACACTTTTCTTACAGGCTGTAAAAAATTTACATTTAAATTAAATTTATCTAATTATGATCTCCTTACTATGTCCTGTATCAGTAAAGCCTGTATTATATTCCCGATATTAGCACATTTCATGAATCATTTCGCATGAACCAAGACCCGAGCGACTGCACTCAGGTGTGGTAAAATAAATAAAAATAAAATAAAAAAAAAAAAATTTATAAATTACGAAAGACAAAACGATTATTTCGATAACACACTTTTTTTCACAACCATTATTTCGATAGGAGACGTAATTGAAAGTTTTTCAATTATGTCGACAAAATTGCTTGTCGTCGTTTTTTTTTCATTCATAAAAATTACAACAACACGGATTCCGTTTAATTTATATTCTTTTCTTATCTCTTGTACAACATATTGCTTAAAATCTGTTACCGAATGTCTTGTAATTGAAACTGTAAACACAAACCAGTGTACTCAGCATCGACAACATCAAAACGTCTGCTCGACACGTTGACTCGTTCGCGCCCGATGCCAAGGGATATTGCTGCGACATGGATACCGCGATAACTGCAGAGAAACAACCATATATTCAATTTTATCGGTAATAATATATAAATTTTTTATTTTTAATGTATAATTTTTTTCGCGAGTAGTGAAATATAAGCGAAATTTTTGATTTAAAATGTCCAACCTGCTACGTTGTTCTGTTCCTGATCGACGTCCGTCTCGAGATTTTCACCGGAATCGAGAGCTGCAAAGTAAGAATAAATAATTACACGTCGAGAACTTCCGGAAGAAGATAATATACATGTGACAATAAGTAAAATTTGGTTTTTATCACCTGGAGCTCCGTCTGTGTGAAAGCGCAATATTTCCGAGGGATAGCCCCACCCGTAACGATTTCTGGACAGAACGACCGCCTCGTAGTGGGTCGCCGGATTCAGGCCTGTCAGATTGAAGGATCGGACGTGCACAGGACTTCTGGCGTCGCTGCCGCTGGGTATGTATAATTTGTGCCAGTCGCCACTGCCACCTTTCTACGATATACACAAGGATATACGCATATAACACCTAGGTGTTCTAAAATCAGTCTCTTTTTTTTTTCCCAAGATCAAAGAAGCGTAAATGTGTAAACAAGCGTGCGTAGACAAACTTTTATATCGATGCGAGTTATAGATATTTTATGAACCATCCTAGTATCGTTACGCAATAAAAATTCTAATAATACAATACAGCCACGCTGTTTTTCGTAATTGTCTTCGAATTCGATTGATGTATCGCGTGCCCCGCCGCCATCAAAGTCGTAACGCGAATATTGCACGAATACGAATCTTACCATCTTGAGAGAATCTCATTTCTCAGAGAAAGAGAGACGCAAAAGATGAGAATGTCGATTTATTTTTATTGTATCCATTTCGTCGAGATTTCGCACACGAGGATTTTCTATTGTTGTCGATAACCCCCGGCCTATTTCGATAAGAAAGAGACCCTTCTTCTCTCACCCTGTATTTGCGAAACCAGAATTGGTACTCGATGATGGGACTGTAACTATCGACTTCCCAGATGAAGTAGTACGACGTGGCGGACGAGTTACGCGATTCCTTCTTGAACACAGCCGGATTCGCGATCCCGGACACCTCGACGCTCTTCTCGGTGACGCCCATTGTGTTCGATGCTCTGCAGACGTAAGAACCGTAATTCGTCGGTTTCACGTCTCTCAACAGCAGAGTGTGATCATCCCCCTTTCTGTGTTTCCTCGCGTTAATTTTCACCGTCTCGTTTTTGAAGTACCACTCTACCTGAAAAGATTTTTGTTGCGCAATAATTTGACATCGCGCGTTAAAAACGACGCGAATTGTAACGCGCGCGTTGAGAAAATTTAACGACTTATCCGCATCAATTCTCGTAATATAAAGCGCTCTGAGAGGAAATATTATATCGGGCGACGTTAAATTCTCCGCGAAGATTTACCGAGCGCCGCAATGAACGCGGTAATTTTCCTTCGCTCTTTTTCTTTTGCACGAGAAAAAAAAAAAAAAAACAGGTATCGTAAGTCACGTTCTCCGCGAATCGATTTGTCACGTGCGACTGGCTTTAGGGGGATCACGGGTGAGAAATTGCTTGACAGATAGGAAGGGCGATTTCATTTAGTTACCAAGCGTGAAGAACTCGTTGAGATCTAAAAAAACGATTCTTATACGCCAGAAAAATATTTTTGTCTTCTTGTAGTTGTTGAAATCTCGTTTTTTCTTCATATATGTGCGCGCGCGTGGGTATGCGTAGTGTTGTGTCGCGCGTTATATAAAATGCCCCGATGCTCGTTTTTAGAGCGCGCAAACGTAAATTGATTTTCTTCAACAATATGCGCGCAATTTGTTTCAAAAGAGAGAGTCCCTTTTTTTTATCTTTCAAAGTATCTATACTTATTCCGCGTCGATTTTAGGGGTCAATGAGGGTGCCGAGATTACTCGACCGAGACGAGTAATCATGCGAATGCAATTCCTCCTTTGAGAATTGCTGCAATTGGCCGTGCACCGGAGAAGTAAAACGGCTATTTTATATTCTCGTAGAGTTTTAAGAATCGCGGCTTAAAAAAAAAATAAAATAAAAAAATAAACTACATAAAGCGCCAGCATGCGCTTTGTGTAATCGCGGTCGACCACGAACTTGGCAACGTAAAGACTGTGTGTCGCCGCTAAGTAATTAAAAGTTTAATTTTTGGTCGCGCGACTCGCGTGCACGCGCGCATTTCTTCGTCGCGTTAATTATTGTTCCAACTGCACAATTAACGGCGCGGAAAAGGGTCGGTCTCACCTCCGCCTCGGGCCAGGCGGTCACAGTGCAAGTCAATTGTACCGGCACCTCCGGATGGGCGTGCACCCACGGCTTCCTCACGTAGATCTCCGGCTTGTCTGTTAATATTTTTCACATCAAGTTATTGTAACAGAATTATTGTTGCAAAAAAAGCTTACACACACACACACACACACACAAACGCAAACAGAATTAACATTTCAAAATTTATATACATCCCGCGATTTGTTCAAAATTTTAGGATTTTTATTCGAGTCACGTACGCGTCTTATTTGCAAGGTCTGGAACTATTTTCGCAATGCGCATAACTTGTTTTGATATCGCGACAGTAAATTGTGTACCACAAGAGTTGATTAACATCTGCAAAGGACTTGACTAGCAAATGCACGATGAACATAATGGATTCACTCGTGCATTTGATTGGAATACTAAAGAGACCAATCTGCGGAGCAATTTCGTAACTTAATTATGTCACTACGTAGCGAATAGTAGGTTGAAACACGGTTTACATGACCAGCAGAGGCGGTCATAATTAAAGTCGATTTAATTGCAAGTGCGATACAATCTTCGCGATTCGCGTTGAGTTCTTGTGATTTTGATAAGAAAAAGAGTAACTCTGTGACCACGCGAAAAATTTAATCTACGTAATGAAAATAGAATAGGATAGAGCTCGAACTACACACATCGACTTACATCTGATACGCAAATCTATATGCGCCTCGGCAGGATCACCGACTTTATTAGAGGCGACGCAAGTGTACCTGCCGGCAAGATGTCGATCGTCAGCATGAAGTCTCAATTGCGGTCTATTCTCCAATAACGGGAGTTCTTTGTCCTGTGAAGAAGACGCATTGCGCTTTGATTTCCGCAAAACATACGATCCACTTCAATTTAATTGACTTTATCATTCGCTTCCGCTGCACAAGCTCTATCTCTCGCTTTTCATACTCATCGCTTTTTCGCGCAAATTGCGCAAAATATATTAACGACACGAGCAAACGTCACGAATATGTCCATCACCTTGGTCCTCCAGCTTATAATAGGATCCGGTACACCTTTCACCAGGCATTGCATCTCGACCTGCTCTCCCAAATTGACCTCTAATTCACCGGACGCCGGCACAGTCTCCACCGACGGCGGATCTAAGTACAGAACAACATAAAAAAAAGGACAACAAATAACGAAGAACCACTTGTGTGTTTTTTTTAAACATTGATCGTCACACGTTTCTTATGTACACATTGAAACGGTTTCTGAAACAGACGTGGGATTTCGAAAGCTAAACGTTAAACGGCGAAGCGAGTCCGTGTAAGATAAGCACTGGCAGAAATGAGATAGACGTCCGGTTGAATTCTCGAATCCTTTTCAGCGCGCGCCGAGGAACTTCGCATAGAGAGACGGATTTCCCATTGGGAAACGCCATCCCTATAGAGAGAGAGAGAGAGACGCTTATCTCTCGGCGCGCACAACGCGGTCTATAGCCAACGTAATACTCTGTACTCACACATCACTTCGATCTCGTGTACTTGCGTAACGCTTCCCCAGGGAGGAGGTCGAGTCGCCTGGCATACATATTCGCCGCTGTCCTCCCGCTGCACGTGAAGGACCCGCAAACTCCCGTTGCTGTACAGGGTGATTCTTTCGGGTGACTGCACCCCCGGGTCTCCGCTATCGGCCAAGAGATTCGAGTCTCGCCACCACTCCACTTTGGTTTGCGCGCCTATACACGAGAGAAAGAGAGAGAGCAGTGAGAGAGAGAGAGAGAGAGAGAGGTTTTTCGGTTTTCGCGAGTCCATTTCGAGCCCGTTCCCATATGTCATCATTACGACGTTTGCACTCGACGCAAATAGGTACGTGTTACGGACATGTATTAACGAAGCTCGAAGTAAGCCGATTAGAATCTCGTCACGAGAAGAAGCTTTTCCTTTTTTTTCTTTTGCCATTTCTCTCTTTCTTGAGCAGATTGAACAATTTGCGCCGAGGAATAGAAATAATTAGACGGATGCGAACGGAACTGTCTTTTTTTTTTTTTTTTTGTCTTGATAAAGTGCAGAGTTTAAGCTTTTTCTAACGCGGGACTTATGGCTTGTGAAATTTATCCGCAACGCTCTCTCGGAGCGAGCAACGTGTTTTCCTTTGTGTCACTTTATCCTGAATTTTGCACGCTCACGTGGGTAGAAATAACGACGCATCAAAGAAACATCCCGTGTTGTTATCGAGAGTATTAAAATTGTAGCTCGGTTTCGGGGTAATGTATCGGACAAACGACAGTAATTTTTTTTCTCTTACACACAGCGTGTGGAAAAGCACACAGAAAAATGAGCAAGACCCATCGCGTTGATATCGCGCCAATATACGTACTCTGATTCTCCACGTAGCAGGGGAGCAAAACCGTGTCGTTCTCAAAAGTTTGCACTGTCGTCGGGTAGCTTTGAAAGTGACGATTTGTCTTGGCATGAGCCAAACCTGCAACAACACACAGATGTCAACAAATGTGATGCAATTAATTAATTCGCTGCTCAAGATTACGAGCACGCACCGAGCAGAAATTACCGAGAAAAAAAAAAAAATATGGCGATGTTATAAAAATGTATTTAGTTCGCGGCCGATTGTTATCTGAAGTACTTGTTTTTTTTTCTTTCTTTTTTTTTTTCTTTTGTTTAAGATTTTCTCTCGTAATTTACAATTGTGATTTGTGCAATTTATATATTTGTTAGAAACTTTCTCGCGATTTTTATCCTCGGTATCCGCATTGCAGAAAGCTTAGTGGTTTTTTTTTTTTTTTATGCTTTTTCTTTCCGAGCTTCTTTTATGCGAAATTCGACACAGATCTCCGCGCAATCTCGCACGCACGCGTGATTACGCGGAATTTTTATTTTCGCAATGCGCGGAGAGATTCGTTAATTTACGTGATCAATTATTATTATGACCGGTGACGTGCGCACGCGGAAGAACTTTCGTATATGACGTGTATAAGAAAAAAAAAAAAAAAAAAAAGAGGAAAAAAATGTGAAATTAACGAACTACTTAACGAACGCGATTTGTGTGTGACTTCGCACACGCACCGCTCGTCGAAGAGAAAAGAGACCCGGCGAGGTCGAAAGGGTAGAATTGATTGCCGAAGTCGCGTGCGCCGCGGCACACGAGTGATAAAGTTTTTTACGTACCACTTTTCCGCGGGGTCGCGGCGTGGTTTTTCCCTCTCAAAGAAATCGATCCGCACACATACGGAAATGCACGCTATATAAATTATGCCGCTTCGCGTAAAAGATATTTCAGTCGCGAATTTTATTATCCGCGCTGATTAGACCCAGAGAGAAACTGGGTTGCACAACTGTATTTTCCTTGTCTACCATTGTCCCAAATGAGTGAGAGAGCAACAACAAAGCGATGGGTGCGAATCATTTTTGTCTGATGGAAAACCGCGTATTTAAAAAATTTTTTTTTTTTTGCGAAGAGAAGTCTCCCGAGAAATTTATAATTTTTCTCGTGTTCAAAAATTCCATTATTTAACATATTTTTGCTTTTGTTGAAAAAAAAAAAACTCAGAAAACCCGCATTTGTGCGAAACGAGCAATTTTTTTTGTACCGCCATGCTGCGAGAAACGCGCAAAACATTCACACACACTCGCTCGATTTGATTAGATATATAGGTGTTTTTTTTTTGTATGTTACCGATTACAAAGAAATAAAGGATCCAAGCAAAAAGCGTCATTTCACAAAATTACACACGCGCCCAACCACGTGTCGAGATATGCCGTTCTTGCGGAGATTCGCGCCAAAAACTGATATCGCGCGAGATGAGAAAAAACGACGTTCTTTCTCTCGCGCGCGCGTGATTTCCTCGGTCTTTCACGAGGCACTGATCTCGCATCAAGATGTGATCCGTGCTCCCTACGATCTCTTACATACGCGTCAACACGCACACGCACATCATCGCTATTTAAGAGAGCAGTTGTTCATTGCATGACTCAGGGATACTCATGCCGCATTAAGAGCGGAGACCGAGCGTGTTCCCTTTGATTAATTATATTTATTTCATTTCTCTCTTGACGTTTCCTCGCACCCCAAGTAATTAATTATTTATGATATGAAAGTTATTAAAAAATTTTTAACGTAAATGTTATGTAAAATCATTGAAATCTCGTTACTTAAAGTAACTCAAGTCTAAAAGAATGAGAATTAGAAATACAATACACGTATCAGAAAGAGGGAAATACTCGCGAAATAAAAAAAACATTTAGGTGATCAATTTTCCCTCTCGATGTAAATCCGATTCTTTAAGGAAGCAATTCCACACGGACCGAGTTTTTCGTCTCTTGATCGAATGACGTAGCTCCGAGAAATGGAAATTTATACACACACCGGATTGAGAACCGTCGACTTTTATTGCAAAGTCGCTCTCTATAGGGGTTACAGGGTGCTGTCCACCCACGACAAACACCCAAAGGCATTCTTCTATAATTTGTTCAATTTACGCACGAACACGCACTGTGTATAGAGCCATTAGACCGTTAATCCAATAAGCGATTTACACGCGTCTCCTTCCTTGAAGGGAGATCGCGGCCTTCTTATACACGTGTTTATTTAGAAATACATGCGCGCGGCGAGGGGTCTCGGCGCTTGTTCGTACGCAAATCGAGAACAGTCAGATGCTCAATACGTAATAAAACCATGAATATTACAAAATTAGCTATTTTGCGGATCAGTCGGCCACTTCAGTTTCAATAACGTAGACAAAAGAAGGCGAAGACAAGAAAAGGGCTCGGTAGAATGAAGACGCTATTCAAAAAGAAAAGTAATCCTCCTCTCGAGTTGGCATCGTGCGTGTAGTAGTGAAAATCTATGTGAATGTACTTAATCCAAGTTCACGGAGAGAGAAAGGGAGAGAGAAGAAGAAGTTCTCTCTAAAACGGTTCTCAATTATCCGATGCATCCGTTGAAGTAGAAGCGAAGATTTCCTCTTAAATGGATTTTCGAGAAGGAATTCGCTGGAAAACAATCGAGCTGTCGACGAACGTTCTGTTTTTTACGAAATTTACGATAGAATAACACGAATAGCGCGAGTTAAAAAAAAAAAAAAAGTACGATGACCTCTGACACGAGGTTTAATCTTTCCGCCCCGCGCGAATGACACACAATCGTGCGTGTGTGTGTGTGTGTGTATGTGTTCACGTGTGTCGCGCGTCGGCTAAAAAGGTTCTCGCGTTAATTGCCGCTAATTCACCGAAGTTCCGACACATTCGTGCCTTCCTCATCGGCTGAATTGTGTGTGTTTACGGGTTAGGTTCTCTTTCGTAAAGAACACATCGTCACACCGACGAACGGAAGTGACAAAGAGAACAACCCGTCTCGCGATTACTGTTTTCTCCCGCTGAAAACAGCTCCGCTCTTCTCACGTTCATCATCCGTTTTATCTCGACGATTCGCTATCTTGTATTTTTTTTTGCACGACTGCGACGATATCGAAGTTTGTTGAGATCGCGCCAAGTGCGGAAGTAACTCTCGTGCAGAGAATCAGCTCCGCAGAGCAAGGCCGTATATGGTCAATGAGATAATTTGCGGCATGTAGCAGGAATGGTCGATAACCACCCCCCCCCTCCCCTCTCTCCACGTGTGTGTTCACTATTCTCTCAGGCGTAATTCGAACGCTCGCGTTCGATAATTAATACTAAATACCGTAATGCGTAATCCGCGATACTTTGATTTTCGGTTTGGCTTTTTTTTTCTCCGTTCGTGTCCTCTCGCGCGTCTTCTGTCTTTCCTTTTTTTTTTGGTTCCTGAAAAAATAATGACAAAAATAAACACGATACAACACAAATTTTTTTGTCTTCCTGAAGAAAACAAAAAAAAAAAAAAAAAAAAAAAAAAAAAAAAAAAATCAAGAAAAATACAATTTCGAAACAAAAATTTCAT